TTTTGGTTTAAAGTGAGATAGAGATGTTTTCTTATTCATCTGTTTTTTGTTTTCAAGAGGCCAATGATATACTGTTTCTGTTTTGGACCATATCATTTTAATTATGTCACTACACTTAAAGCTCATGGATAAGCATACTTATTTCATTTTGTGCTGTTTAAATTGAAATAAATAAAAAAATACAAAAAATCAAACTGCAGTATGCCTGTAGCTCACTAAATTGTAATCTAGTGATTGTGGTTCACTTAGTTGTTGGAACTTGTTGATGAAAATAAAATAGACAAGACAGTGGTATAAAATTAAAGTAACAAGAGAGAGAGACAAATATTCAAATCTGTAGTTGTAAGATTAATAACGTGGAAACTTGAAATATTTCATGGATTTGTAGCTTGCTAGATGTGGGATATTGTGCCATGGTGCCATTTAAATCCATTGTTACATTATTTTCCAGAGGTGAATGGGTCATCCTTTAGTGACTAAAGGAAAATAGCAGTTAATAAATAATAAAGATCTACTTTTTGCTTTATTCCTAGTAGAATGGTTTCTGACGAATAATTTAAGAACTGTAAATACAGTTTGGCAGGATGAAATATGATTTTTCAATAGGTACAGATTTTACTATTATGACAAAACTTCTATTCAGAGATATATTGTTTATTTCTTTGAAAGTGTAAAGATGTGCATATAGTTGAGGGTTGTACTTACTAATAGCAAAAATATATCCAAATTTAATTTGAATTTAGAAAGTTATTAAACTGCTTTATTTTTAAAATGGAAAGTGCTGGGAAATAAAACTTGAATTGGGCTGCTTAAGTGTTACTGTAATGCAATGGGTAAAACAGAGAAAACCCAATAGCTTTTTCTTATATTATTGAGGATGCTATAAAATATTCAGTATGCCAAACATTATGAAGATAGCTTAGTCCTGTTCAGTGATGTTAAGACACTGCTGGAAGGCACTTGGATACTCCCGTGATGAGAGCAGTATGAAAGCCTGTATAGATTAGAACTGTGGGCTTCTGGGTGGAATTGAAGTTTTTTCTGACCTTTAACCCCCGATGGCTTGAGAATGAAACTCCCTTGGGTGTGAATGGGATTGAGCCCTTTGTATAGGTGGAAGTCTCAGAGTATGAGATTCCTTCATTTTGCTTTCTCCTCTACTCCACAGGTTCATAGCAGTGGCCATCATTTTCCCAGGAGCGGGTTGATAGGCAAGAATCTTTTTGTTATAGCTTAAATATTAAAATGGATAACTGCAACATTAATGACAAAGGCAAGATGCAAGGAGTTTTTTTTGGTGGTGTCTTTTATTGGACGAATTGATTTGGAGGCACAAGGTTGTCATCTCAAAGTTTTATACAGTTGGTCCAGTAAATAATATCACTAAAAAAACCCTTATTCTTGCATCTTTCCTGGACTACCACAACACTCCAACTCTACTATTTCCCTTTGACCACTCCAGTTGCTTATAGGTGACTTTTTTTTATTACTTTATATAAATATGTGGCCTGCTACAGTATGGGTCTTGAACCCTCTAGCCTTAACTTGAATCCTGTAGTGTTAAATGGCCATCGACATCTTCCTATATCTTTCAAGGTTGTCAATTATTTTACAGATCTGGTGGTACTATGGAAGTTTTTGTAGGATTTTAGAGACCAGGTTAAAAACATGAGATTGAATTAATTTTTTTAATATTAGAATAATAATAATGGGCAGAATATGTCATAAGCCATAGGCTGGTGCCTCCCTCATTGTTGCTTGTGGTCAAGAAAAAATATTCTCTCTCTCTCCTTTTGTTTGTTTAGCCAACTCACAAAAGCTCAATAATAAATATTGGATGAGTGTCCAATATAAATATTCTGTGTTGCATGTGAATAGCTGTATTCACAGCTCTTCCAAATCAATAAGTGGGCGTCTGAATATTCTTGGAAAAATGGGTCTGTCTAGTGTTGGATTTAAGAGTGGATTGTTTTTTTGTGAACATACCTACAAATTATTTTTTTTTCCATAGTTTTCCATAGTGAGTTATGTAGATTGGAGTGGTGTGTATTTCACTCTGATTCTGCTTTAGAGACCTCAGGGCAGTGGCAGAGACGTGGCTTGGAACTATTTATAGGGAAAATTAACTGAGAAGATTCAAAGAGCTCTAAAAAGGGAAAAGAGCACAGGACTAGAAGGAGTCTCTGGGGTCATGGAATCCAGTCCTCTGCATTTCCAGGCAAATAGTTACCCAAGGAGTCCCCAAAATCATTATTTCAAGCAGTCACAACTATAAATCACAGTATTAGAAACACCAAGAACACCCTAAAACAGTAGTCGGCAAACCTGGCACGTATGCCAGAGCATGGCACATGAGACCATTTTGTTCATCATGCCACATCTGGCCTGGGCTGTGGGCAGCTGCCTCTGGCCACAGAGCCTGGGGTGCTTGCAGCAGGTGGTGGGGAGGCTGCAAGCCCTGCTGCAACCAGCCTGGGCTCTGTGGCAGGCAGCAGCTGTCCAGAGCCCCGACTGGCTGTGGCAGGCAGCCAGAAGGCTGCAACTGGTATATCAGGGTCTGGAGATCCAGCCGAGCTCCGTGGTGGTGGTGGCTGCACACACGCCTTGGGACAGACAACAGAGAAGGGGCCTGGGGCAGCACAGCTGGTGCTCTTCACTCTTCTCTTTTCCCTGTGTGGGAGGTGCCAGCTGCAGCAGCAGCAGCAGTTCTGGCTTTGGCTCCCAGGACTGCAGCCACTGATGGAGTGTGGTGGGGGCTGAGGCTTTTAGCAGGGTGAATGCCTGTGGGGCTCAGAGGAGCATAGCCCCTAACCCTCACCCCTGCCCTCCTCTGCCACCTGCTGCAGGTGCTCCTCTGTGCTGGGCTTCTGGCACCTACCAGAAGGGCAGGGAGGCATGTGCTTATACATGCCTTTGTACATGTGCGTGCCTGCATGCATCCTTGCAGGGGGAGCAGGTGGGGGATAGGTATCATTGGGCTCTGGCCCCGGTACAGTCCTTGTCCCTGTGGGCAAGGGGGGGTTGTATGCCCCATTCCCAGCTGTCCCTGATCACACGCACATGCACGCGCACACTGTCCCCACCCCCAGCAGGGCTGAGGAGCACAGACTCCACACCTGGAGGTGCAGGGCAGCAGGAGCCTTCCCCTGCTCTGCTTGGTGGCTCCTGCTGCTGAATGGAGGGGCGGCTGTTTCCCTTGCACCCGACTCTGGGTCTTGGTGCCATGCCCTCCTCCCTTCCTGGCTCCCTTGCAGTTCCCCTCCCCTCCCCCCCACCCAAGTTCCAGTACAAAAGGGATGGGAGAAGCCTTGAGTCTTTTTGGCAAGATGGACCTGGGAGCAACAGCATTGCAGAGGAAAAGGAGGGAAGAAATAGCTTGTATCACTCCAGAACAGGAGTCCCTCCCCCAGCCCTGGCTTGTTGCTGGCGGCAGCTGCACACGTGCCTCTGGGAAGACAGCGGAGAAGGGTCGGGGGGGGGGCAGCGCATCCCTGACCCCTCCCCCACCATGCTCCCCAAGGCACACGTGTGCCTTAGGGAACATGGTGGGGGAGGGGCCTGGGTTACATTGCCACAACGAGGATTGGCCACCTTGTGGCTCCCCTGCCACCTGCCCCTGGCACACTAACATCTTCCAAATCAAGGTTGTGGGGTATTTTGGCACTTAGCCCAAAAATGTTGCTGATCCCTGCCCTAAAGCATGATGTACATAAAAGTAGAAGAAATAAAATCACTGCTAATATCTTGAAATGACAGGATGGTAGTTGGCTAATATATGTTTAGAATAACTTAAGTAGTGAAGAAGGTGATGGTCGGGAGCCTTTGGAGTGGTCAGACATTGCCAGCCAGGCACCGATGCAAGAATTGGAGCTCTGAGCATGTTCCAGTAATCTTAACTATGGAGACGGTCAGAATCTCAGCAGTTGTGAGGGGCTTGCTGGATCTTTCATAAGGTTATTTCTCTTGCATGTTTCTTGTGAGATCTCCAGTCTGTCATGTTGCTCTCTGGTGTTTAGGTTTTTGGGCCACAGTCTCATAGTTGGTTCAAATAATTTGTTCCAGCCCAGTGTTAGAGCATATTGGTAGGGCAGAGAGAATTTTGGTCCTAATCCTAGAACTGGTGATTCAGTTGCTGACTTTGGCAAAACATTTATGCTTCTATTTCCTCATCGCTAAAACGTGGTAGTATTTGCCATGTCTGCCTCGTGGCTATCATATAGCCTAATTAATGTCTGCGATTAAACTTTGATATCATAGATTATCAACTGTATCTCATTGCGTGGTATAACGACTTAAAGGGTTAAGGAGTTGTTTGACCCTGTTTTGATATGAAAGTTAGGAGTTTTATAATGTTTGTTTTAGACAAGTATGTGAAATACTTAGTTTTCTATTTTATAGGTTAAGTAGTTGGGACAACTAAAATAATCTATATATTTTATTTATTTAGCAGTGTAGAAAAGATTAAAGTTGTAAGGAAAAAAAATTGCTGATTTTTGAATGAGCCAGAAAGGAAAAATCTGAAAAATCTGAAAATAGAAAATCAGGACTTACTGAAAATTTTGTTTGCTGTAGGTGGAATTTTAACTTTTCATTTTATCAGCAATAGTCACATTGCCATCCTATGTTGTATGGATTGTAAGATGGCTTTTGTCACTCAATGCTTTAACTGAACTGAAAATTTGAATGTTGGATTGATTCCTTAACAATGCAAACAAACAAACAAACAAATGGAGGTTTGCAAAGCTTAAAAAGAAAACTTAAATCTGAAAAATGCAAGTATGTTGTAACTTACTGTTTTATGTAAAAACACATATGTGGTTTCATAAATATGAAATAAGAGACTTTTTAATAATCCAGTATCTTCCTTAGTTTTGAGAAACATTTTTATACTTGCCTGAAAGCTTGAAGCTAAGCTGACCCTCTCTTTAATATTGATGTACTTTGACTGTAATACGGTGTTCCTTTGCCTCTGATTAATGCTGTCTGTCAATTATTTACAGATCCAGTGGTACTATGGAAGTTCCCGGAGGACTTTGGAGACCAGGTTGGAAACATGAGATTGAACTTTTTTATGTTAGAATAATAATAAAAACGCCCTCCTATTCAACTGTAGAAAGGCAGATGCTAATGATATCAGTGAGGAAGTCTTCACCAATTGATGGATTGGTAATTAGAATGCATTTGTGACAGGAATATGCAATAGTAGTTTTGAAGAAATATTCAGCTTACAGCATTATTCTTCACTGATTTCATATTTTAATTTTTTTTTTAAATAATGCATTTTATAAGGTTTTCTTAAAAATGTAATTAGCTTTTATGATGGTTAAGCTTAAAACAACATGCATTTTTAAACACAGCTTTACAATTAATCTTAGTTAAGAATTTTTGTAGTAAATCCAAACCCTAAACAGCGTGATGTCTACTTTTAGAACCAGAACCTTTAAGAATTATGTTACCAACATAATTTGTGGCTTACATGTTACATTGCTTTAGAATTGTATTACAGTAGTTCTTTGCTTTGTAAAACAAATGTTTTGCACATAATAACAGATGATGGGATAAATCTGCTGACTATGCAGACATCGAAGCACTAGTTTTTTACAATAATTTATTTTCATAGGTAAGCTTAGTCCACTATATTTAAAGGATTATGTCAGTACTTAATACATGAATAATAAGTTTATTTAATTAGTTATTCTGTTTTAGATTGAATATTTTATTTTTAAGTGTCGTGTTATATTTTGCTTTTGTTTAGGTCTGTTATTTTGCCAAAACCATTTTATTTGTATAAAGGGAATTTAAATAGCCATATTTCATAGAAAAAATGAGAATGAACACCTTGTTTTGCTGTCTTATATATCCACATTGAGTCAAGTTAGTTCTTCACCCATAGTGTCACACTGGTAGATGCTTGGAAATATCCTTGTAAATCTTGTTAAATTAGAGAAATGGGTTGAAATCAATAATGCAAGATTCTATAAAGATAGGTGTACGGTGATTTATGATTAAAGGCATATGTATACACATAGAAAATGTGGGATATCTGGCTAGGGAGTAGTAATAGTGGAAAAGATCTGTAGCTTCTAAGGTCATAATAAATGGAACATGGGCAAAGTGTTCCATGATTTCTTCATAACCATACATCCTGCAAGTTTTGATCATATTTTTCCTAGTTAAGAGTAGTTGCCTCCATTCTCATTTAAATTCTGGTGTTTTAAGGAGAACTCACTCAAAGTGGGTCAAAAATGATGTGTGAAAGGGCTCTTAATTAGTAAGTTAAAGGTTACTCAGTGAGCAGCTGCTGGTAAAATATGATTAGTGGAGGAGGCCCACTGGAGAGTAGGCAATAACACACAGAGATACAATGGGTATAGCTAATCTGCAAAGCAAAAGTAACTTCTAGCATTCATTTTAGCTCATTTTCCCCCAAATGTGGGGAAATGAGTATTTTGCATAAAAGACCTGTGATGGAAAAATTTCAGTTTTTCAGTTCCCCAAAATGTCAGTTTTCATGTGAAAAAGCCAAGTTTTAGTCTTCTTTCATGCAAAGTTTGAAACTGTAAGTGGAGCACTGGGACTATAAAGAATAAATAATATTAAAAAATCAGTGGGAGCATATTATTAAACTCAGTGAAGTCTGGATCAAGCCCCAGGGACTTGGGGCATGTGTATATTGTCTCCTGCTGCGCAGCACCACCCTTGAAAATCAAGCTTTCGCCAGTCTCTCCTTCTATATGCTGGCCCAAGTCCAGCAATTAGACATAATAGACAATTTAGAGTGGACCTGAGCACATACTGCAATGACCAGAAACAGCCTGTGGATACTTGAACTGAGTGGGGCCAGCTCAGTTTGTCTGATTACCTCTACAAACTCATATTGATGTAGATGCAGCTAGTAATCAGAAAATACTACACTGTGGATTTGTAGTTTGAACATATATGCCAGCACTTTTAATGTACAAAACGCGTATTAAATTGAATCGAAGTTCCTTGACAAAGGATTATAGATTTTGTCCTGTTTTTGCCAGTGGAATCTTACATCACTATGATTTTGTTCTGAATTAAGTTTTTAATGTTACATGTGTAAAATATTTACAAGGTAATTTATAGCTAGTGTAGAACTTAATTTCAGTTTTGCTGTTATCTGAAGCTCATTTTTAAATTAAAAAACCTATAGACAATATATTAAAAATTACTACTTTAAATAAAGCATACTTTTCAGAAAAAGTTTCCCCCAGTAATTCTTGAAAAATGCAGTAGCTTAGAAAAATTCTGGTGTGCTTAGAAAAATGAAAACCAACAAGTGAAAAAAAAATGTGCCTGTCACAGAAAAAAATATGAAACTTTTTAATGTCGTGATATAGTTAGCCATTGAGCCCTAGTAATTTTGCAGGTACTGGCTACAGTCTGGTTTTGTTGAAATCACTGGTAAATCTCCTGTTGACTTCCGTGTGACCAGGATTTCACACGCAACTTCTCCCAAAGCAGCTTTAGTCCTGGATGTCTCTTAAACTCTAAGAATTACTGTATGTTCTCCATCCATAGCCTCAGCATATTACAGTTCCTCCTGGCAAAGGAAGAGCTTCCTGCAGGCCATTCTGGGACTTACAGTTCTGTTTCCTGTAGAAGTATTAGAAACAAGAGCATTGCTTTATTTTTTATTGTGAGACAAATAATGGTAGTATTTACATTCCTTATGTCACAGATGCACTAATTAAAGAGTTGACAAGTGTTTATTGTTGCTATTCTGCCAGATACCAAGAGGATGATGTAGAATGGGGTTTTTTTCAAACATTTCAGATATTGATATTACTCACAAATTTGAATCTTTGTATTTTTACATATATAGGAGAAGTTAATAGAATAAGAAAATCCATGTCAGGAAAAAATCCTTTTGCTGTTTATTCAAATGGCTTCTAAAATTAACTGGATGGGAGGTATTAAAAGAAAGCTAGATTCTTCACTCCTGCCCATTTTCAGACCTTGGGGTTTTCATAATGAATAAGACTTTAGGCCCATCTAGTCTGTGAGTGCTCTGTTTCCTGCAATGGCTGATACCAGAAGCATAAAAGGGAGTTGTTAAAAACCCAACAGTAGGCCAAAGTAGGGTAATTTGTCCCTCGCATTAGGTCTCTTCCTAGTATGTCTCTTAGGGTTGGATTTTTATATCGCTTCCCCATGAATATAATGATTCTGGATGCTTTTGTTATTCATATATATATGTCTAATCCCTGTTTGAATCTTTACTGAGTTCTTGGCCTGATTCACTTCATTTAGAAGTAAATTCCACAGTCTAATTATGCATTGTATGCAAAATTATTTCAGTTTATTTTTCAGTCAAAATTATTTCAGTTTATTTTTCAACAATGATGATGATCATTGTTTTGATCATCATCTGATTCTAGTGTTGAGAGAGTGAGAAAAGGAGTTCTTGATCTGTCCTCTGTAGATGATTCATTACATTTTTTTTATCATGTCCTCATTTATTTTCAAGTGGGTAATTGTCTTTTCAAGCTCTTTTTATGTGAGAGTATGCAGTGGGATAACTAGTAATACACATAGTATTTCAGAGGAGGTATCAGCATTGATTCTGTGATTATGTTACTGATTTATACAAAGAAATTATGATATTTCTTATAGTATTGGCCATCCTGTTTCTTACAACAACTTTTGCATTTTATGCTACAGTCGCTCATTGAGCAGCAGTCTTCGTTGAATTGATAGCAGTGAGCCCAAAACACTTTTCTGTTTTGAACCAACTGAGTAAAACCTGATTTCAGCGGTATAAGACAGTAGTGCCCAACCTTTTTTTGCCTTGTGGGCCAGGTAGGTGGTGCCAGGTCCATCTGTGGCCTAGATCTGGCCCAATCTGGCCCACAGACTGTGTGGGTTTGGCATGCAAGCGCAGCGTAGTGGCGGCTCAGCCCAGGTTGGCTACATGGCAGTGGTCATATAGCAATGGTTTAGGGTCAGCCCAGCTGAATGGCAACAGCCTGTGCCTGGCCTGGCCACCTGGAAACAGCTCATGACAGCAACAAGGCACAGCTAAGTTGCCTGGCCATGGTCCGGCTCAGTCGCTCAGCAGTGGCCCAGCTCAGCACAGCCGCTTGGCAAGAGCTGAGTTCCACTTTCCAGAAATGGTCGCAAGGGGCTGGGAATTTTAGCAGTTGGGGGAGGCTTGGCCACTGCTCCCTTACCCCCAAATTTTCCAACCTATGGGGAGCCCAGTGGGCAGGATGTTATGTCTCCATGTGCCAGATTTGGCCCTTGGTATAAGATGTTTTCTGTAAGGGCTATATCCTGCAAAATGTGAAGAGTTCAGGCTTGGTTTACCTTGGAATACTAAAGTTTCATTGCAATTAATGGGACACCTTGTACTGAAGGGTTAAGCACATGCTTAAATGCATTACTGGATCAACCACGACAAATGCAAAGTATTTTGTTAACCAGTATAAAGGAGGGAATTTTGATATTGTTGCCACTATTATGAGGTGCACCTTTATAGTGTTGTTACTTGAGGGGATATCTGTCGTTGTAGATTTGCGAGAGAATATGCCTTATACAGGTACGCTTGACCTCGAAAGTATTTTGATCTAAGTGTTTTATTTAGCCTACCCTGCAAGGTTCTGCTGAGAAGACTGGGTGTTTCACATTCAAAGCTGTTCTGCAATAGCAGAACTGTGCTTTCATCTAGCAGAGTTACTCCAAGTCTGCCAAGTAGAGGAAAGTTTCTGACCCTAGCTGCTGACAGAAAATGCATGTAGACACTCCTGTACCTTCAGCTGGCTGCTGTGGTCCATTCAGCAGCTGGTGCCTTCCTAAGGAGCGCTTCGCATTTTGGTAGCACAGTTGATGAGTGAAGTTACATAGAGACATATTGGTACACACGCACCCTTTAAATGTTCTTATTTTCTGCATAGTTAGGGATCTTTAGGAGTTTAAAGTCTCCTGCAACTTCCAGGGAGATGCATGGTCCAATTCAGACTATAGCTTCCTAGTAAGCTCTTTTCAGGTTAAGGTAAATCATTATTTGTGATTTGGCTG